CTCTCTCTCTCTCTCTCTCACACACACACACACACACACACACACACACACACACACACTCTCTCTCTCTCTCTCTCTCTCTCTCTCTCTCTCTCTCTCTTTCTCTTTCTCTATCTCACACACACACACCCCGTAAGCACCCCACCTCACCAAAACAGTACTAAATGACAGGTGTCAAAAAAAAAGAAATCAAAAGAATAGTAAAGGCAAAAGAAATGTGGAGATACAGAAGATCTTAGAAATAAGGGCATACAAAGGAGATTTTCACACAACTTTTCCCATTTGCCAAGCAAATAGGACAGGTAGTCTTAAAGATAAAACAACCAAAAGCTAGCTGGTAGCAAAGTTCTCCCTCATGACCTCCTTGCTACCCTGTGCTAGTCTTGAATGCAAGAGCTCCCAAACGTGATCAGCAATAGGCACAGTTCACAGCACTTTTATTTCCAGATTTGGCTGCAGATTCTCACTCTGTGCTATCACTAGGGGGAGCACTTACTCCTGTTTTTTTTTAAAAAGGGGAGGGGGGTGGGGGGGAGAGAAAGAAAAAGGAAAAAGTTCCTAATTAACGATGTACTTTATCTGACTGTCCCTAAAAGGCAAAGGGCGAAATGTTTTAAAACTCACAGTGCAAAGTGACAAACGGTTTTTAAATGACCGTAAAAGTAAGCAACATAAAAGTTAGGTTAGGTACATTAACCAATCAACACATTTAACGCATAATATAAATAGCAAATATTGCTTAAACAGGCTGACCTTACCATCAGTTTAAAATAAGTATAACATGTGAAGATTCTGATAAATACTATTAGCAAAGGAAGTTAATAGATATCTATCACAAACTTCAGTTGATATACTTTACTTGCCTATTACTTTATTAAATTATTGGAAGACAAAATTAATACTGCTATCCTCTTTTAAAAGTTTGTAATGTACCTTGAGCACCTAAGGAGTAAGGAATTAGGGACATGGCAAAGGAAACAGAAGGGAATTAATATTAATTGGGTACCTTTTTGGTGTTTGGGGCTAACCACCTTGGGAAACAAGAATTATTATTTTCCACTTTGCAGATGAGAAAACCAGGATTTAACAACCATCATAACTTGCCCATGGTCACGCAGATAGTAAGTGGGAGGACATAACGTAAATCTGTCTGATTCTATTGCCTACGATACAAAAAAGTCAAAAGTTGCTTAATTCATCTGGCACTTCGGTCATCTTAAGGTAAATAAACACACTTTATTCCATCAAGAGGTATATATTTATATCATAGCACAGAACAAGAAAGAACCAAAACAACAATAAAAAACAGCTTACCCTCTAAGAGCTTACAGTCTATTGACGACAACGTATGCGCACACACACGTTAAGGAAAACAAAGGCATGCAGCCACTAAGTGATATGGGAGCTCACAGAGCCTGAGATCCCATGTAGTGTCAGCAGTTAGGAAAGGCCTTAGGAAAGATGCAAGATTACAGCTGGATCCTGGGGATGGAAAATACTGGAGAGGTATAACGAAAGGTATTCCAGGATGGGGAAAAGCAGAGTTAAGGATGAACGTGATGTATCTGAGTAACAGTGAATAAGGCAGCACGACTGCTTCAAAAAGTGAAGGACTGCGTGGAGACAACCCGAGTGTATGAACAAACAAAATGTGATACACTCCCACGGTGGAATACCATTCAGCAGTAAAAAGAAACAAAGTACTGACACGCTACAATGCCAGTGAACCCTGAAAACATTATACTAAGTGAAAGAAATCAGTCACAAAAGGCCACATATTGTATAATTTTACATAAAATGTCCAGAATAGGCAAATCCGTAAGAAGGTAGACTAGTGGTTCCCAAAGGCTGGGAAGATTGGGCAGAAGTGGGGACTGACTGCTAACAGGTACAGGGCTTCTTCTGAAAATGCTCTAAAACTGATTGTGGTGATGAACACACAACTCTGTGAATACATGAAACCACTCAACTATAAATGGGTGAACCATATGGCATATAAATGACACCTCAATGATGCTATTAAAAAGAAAAGTTGAGGGCCTGGTGGAACATTCCATTGCAGAGCTAAGATGGAGTCACTGATGCCAAGCTTAAGGGTCTGGAATTTATCTGACAGGCAACTAGAGATATGTGAGTAAAGGTTTACCTAATGAAAGCACAGTGTACAAACTTAGGACCCTTCTCTAACAAAATTATTCCTAAAATATACACCAAAATCACAAAGAAGAGAGAGAACTAAAAGAAGATACTGTGATATGATTTTGACTAAGCCACAAGCTGTGACTATTAGGAAAGTTGTTTTGTTTCAGTGCTAAATGCCACAGATGGGTACATTAGCATCATATTCACGTAAAACCACAGAATCATCTTTGTCAGATCTTCAAATACTGTAATGTTCTAAACTTAATTATGAAAATAGCATTAATAATTGATCTGCCATATTTTAGGGTAATATAATGAACAGTGTAATTTGTTTTTCATTGGACAGCAGTCCAATATAATGCTTTTTTAGTTACTAGGTTCGGTTTAAATACTATCAGAACCTCCACTAACATAAAGCATTTCCTACTGATACTTATACATTTGACCCTAAAATCTAATGTAACATAATCTTCCAAGATAGATTTAATGTACAAAAATAAGAGAGCTACAGAAACAAATCTGACATTCAAAAACAAAGAGGAAAATTCTGGATATTAAATATCCAAAACAGACGAAAAGGTAAAGCACTCAAAAATAAACCTGAAAATCATAGAGGGAAAAAAAGGACTCAGTATTAGATTCTACAGCCTTGGGAAGTACAAATAGGAAAAAAAAGGAATAAATTACATTTAAAATAGAAGGCTCAATACGTGAGAGAAGAGGCTTTAACAGCTTTAACAGAGGCAAAGTTTGGAACATGTCCATAAGACAATCCCACACCCTCTCCAGAATCCCAGGGAAGAAAGAACCCTTCAGGCAGGAGTCTTGTTATCCCTTCAGAAGCTGGCCTAAAGGTGAAATCCCGCTTTCCCCCAGGAGGTGGTGAGATGGTAGGAATACAAAAGAAGAACTCAGCTGGAGAGCCCACGCACAACCAAGGTAGTGTTTGCCTTTTGAGTCACCTTGCAAGCCTCCTTCAAGGTAGATGCGCCACTAGAAACTAAAGAAGATATCAGATCTCTTTTAAAACTCTCTTGCCTAAGAATGAGAGGACCCATCTGCCTCTGTAAGGGCTTTGTCAGTTCCAGAACTGGATGAAACTTACGTTCTTTGTCTGAGAAATTCAAACAACTTAGACGACCTGGTTCGCCAACAATAAAAGCAAAATAGAAAATAAGCTATCCTAAAAAAGAAGCCTTGTCACTGATACCTAAAATAAGGTATCTGCTGTCGCAAGTAAGTAGAGCAAAACTCTCTATTTCCTCACTGTCAGCCAGCATTTATACGGAGAGAATTAAGTAGGAGTAAGTAGGCACTGACTTCAAGTCATTAACTGCTGTATGCTAAAAGAAGCTTATCCAAATTTTCACCCGTTGTCTACCTACTCCAAACAAAAGAAATGTGGGAAAAGGCAGATGCTTACAACTACTGTTCACCATATTGGACATGTTAATCATTAAGGAATAAAGTACTTCAAATATTACACAATTACCAAACTAAGTTAAAAGGCATATTCTCTATGAAACATCAAAAACACATACTGTTAATTCATACATAGATAAAACCATTTTCCTTTAAAATAAATAGGTAGATATATACCTGAAACTGACACAACGTTGTAAATCAACTATACTCCAATGAAAATTTTAAAAATAATAAAATAAAACAAATAGGTAGAAACGATGAGAGCAGGCTACCATAAATCACCAAAAGATGAGGGGAAATAACCCTAACATAAGGTCTAAGATCCAGAAACATTTTAAAGTAACAGAATTACTGAAGAGAATGGTCTAAATTGTAAGCATGCTAAAATTCTGACAAGAATAGAACCCAAGATGTCACTAATGGGCTACAGAATAATTAAGAAAATGGAAATCAAGGAGAGATTTTTTTTTTTTTAACAGGGTCATTCAGTGAATATCATGGGACTAGAAACATGATCTATAAAACAAGAAAGAAGAAGAAATTTGCCAGCACCTGAAACCGGCAAAGTAGACCTGAGCTAAGGAAACAAGGATGACAAATATCCCAGGAGGTAAATAACACCAGTTTTCAAAATCTGATTCCAAAAAAAAAAAAAGCGAAAACTAATTTGCCAAAAGGGGGTAAAAAATGTGCAAGAAAAATTTTAAAACAATGTACACAAAATGCCTTAGGAAAATTTCTATTTCTGAAGTATTTTTATAGATATTTTCACTAATGTTCACATCAGCTTTTAAGAAGTTAAATCCACAACACAATTTTTAAAATAGTTGAGAGAAATCTTGTAAATATTTGTAATAACCATTTGGCTTAGGCAATTCTGTAGAGCTTGTAAGATGAAACTTAAGTGAGAGTAGGTGCAATTAAATTTTAAAATCTCTCAGGCAAAATTATAAAGCGCACATAGCAGAAGTAATATAAACAGGATATCCTGAGGGAAAAGAATTGAACTACCATATTTGTGGATTTTTTTTTCTGTACAGTAAATAGCATATAAAGTTCATACTCTGCAATTAACTTAAAATTAATCACTGGATATTCTTAAGTCTCATCTAAATTTATTGGATCTTATGGGAGGACAGCCAAAGCTGCAAGATTTTTTTTTTAATGAGATTCAACTCAAACCATTAGTTGCTCTGCTCCTCCTCCAAGCAATATTCTATAAGCTAGGTATCTGATTTGATTTCGGTTCTCAAGTTCATAAGTCCATATCTAAATCTTAATTTATAACATAATTAAGTGCTGCGCATGCAAAAGTACTCTGTTCAAGTGGTTAAGTAAATCTGAACAGAACCGTAACATGACATTTCAGAAATCATTTGTGGATGCTGCCACAGGAAAAGCAGCAATTATCACAAAAAGACTTTATGAAATACCTGAGCAGATAAACAGCCCTTTCAATATCACTGAGGTCTTCATCAACTGTCAATCTTTCTATTTCTTCTGGTGTCTGTCAAGTGTAAAACACAAATTATGCACACAAACATCGCATCGGTCTTGCCTCCAGGGACCCTATCTGAGTATGGACTAATGAAAAAGTTTCACAATTTAGCGTTGTCACTGAAAACTAATCAAGGGTCTGACGCCCTCAAACCTCAGACATCTCTAATTGTTGGGTTTAGGTGGTGGAGTTTGGGGGGTTGGGGGCTTTTTTTTGTTTGTTTACTCTTCTAGCTTCTAGATTGAAGCCTGAGAATCACATTGTGGGCTTCAGAACCTTGCTGAAATCAATTGTATGTATATATATATAAAATATATACATACTTTTAGTCTCTAATATCCAAGACTGTTTCGCCAGCATTTCCATCCCAGGAAATGCTTAAAAGGGGGAATGAATACTGCAGCCGAGGGAGAATGAGAAAGACGAAATCTGGAGTGGGGGAGGGAAGGGAATAAACTCTGGGACTGGAAGGAAATCAAAGATTCGAGATATTGCGGCAGGTGGGAGTGAAAAGAGCTATAATGGGGGGCGGAGGGGGGCGGTCACTAGTTTTGCCAGCATTGAGGGCTGGAGCCTCTGGGAGGCTGGGAGGAAGATGACTCTGCGGGGTCGGGGAGCTAGCGGGAGGTGGGGGGCCTAGTGAAGGTTGACTCTCTTAAGGAGGTTAGGGAGCAGGGTCCCAGCTAGAGTCCTGGAGGGGCTGGAAGGTAAGGACACGTGGTGACTCAGGATCGGGACAAAGGGTCGAGAGGGCTTTGAAGACCCGTAGCAGGACGGCTCTAGTATGGGTGCTAGTTGGGAGGAGAAGGGAGGCCCGGGCTGACTTGGGTACTGGGGGACCGGAGCTCGCTCTGATGGGGGAGGAGGGGGATGGGATCTGGGGTGTCTCTGGGAGAGGTAGGGGAAGAGTCGGGGCCGTGTAGACTGAGAAGTGGGACTGGGGCCTGAACCCGGGCAGCAGCACCGGGGAGCCAAAGCGGGGGGAGGGGGAGCCCCAAGGAGAGGAGGCGGGATAAGCGGGCTGCAGCTGCGAGGGGCAGCTCCTGCAGGGCCGGGGGAAGAAGGACCGCAACCGAGGGGCTCCGGCTGTGCGAGAGGGACGGCGCGGGGGAGGACGCCGGGCTGGCCCGAACGACAGGGGCTCGACCGGCCGTTCCTGAGGGGCGGGTTGGGGAAAGGGCCCGGGGCGGGCTGGGCCGGGGGACTAGAAAACCGAGGGCGTCCGAGGGATCGCGGGCTGGCTCCGGATGCCCGTCCCTCGGGCCTGGGGGTCCAGGCTGGGAGAACCCGAGCCACGTCGAAGAAGGGGGCCCGAGAAGGGCCGGGTTAGGGTAACACGGCGGCCGGGGACTGGAGGAGGACTGGGGGGCCAGCAGGACTCCGAGAGGGTCCCGGGCCGCCTCGGGGAGCGGACGGGCTGGGGTCGGGGTAGGGGCAAGCCGCCGGGCGCCCTGCGGGCAGTTCCTCCTCCCCGGGGCGCACCTTGAGGCTCCGGCGGACCGGCCTCTCGATGATGGTGAGCTCCTGCAGGTCCTCCATGTAGCCGAACAGACTGTTCTGACTGAACTCCATCGCGGCGGCGGGCGGCGGCGGATGCATGGACCGCCGGGCCCCCTAGCCGCCCGGGCCGGAGCGGCACCGGGATGCCGGACGCGCGCAGCCCCGCGGCCGCCCACCAGCAGGACTTTCTCCCGCTCTCGGCCGAAGGAGCCGGGCGAGAGGCGAGCAGGCGGCGGGAGAAGGAGCGCGGCCGCCGAGGGGGTGGGGCAGCCAAGGTGAGGGGGCGGGGCAGCCAAGGCGAGGGGGCGGGGTGAGATGCGCGGGTGGGCCTAGGGGGCGGGGCCTGGGTGGGGGCGCCGGCCTCAGCCCCGCCCCCTCCCGGGCGTCGCGTGCACGCGGGCCAGACGCAACTGCCGCGCAACGTCGCGGCGGCCCCCTACCGCTCTCGTCTCTCTGCTCTTCTCTCCCCTTGCCCCGCCCCCGACCGAGCGCGCCCGAAGCCGCGGCGCGTGCGCAGAGCCTCCCACTCCCTGCGGCCAGTGGAGGAGTGGGGTCCGTAGCCGGGGGCGGAGATGCTGAACCAATAAGAGGCGAAACAAAGAAGAGGGAGGTGGGCTGGGATCTTGCTTAAGTTGCTAGAATTATCATGCGGTTATTCGTGGGACCGCCCACCCCAGCGCACGATCTGTGGACGCGAACATCTCCGTAACTCTGCTCTATCCCTGAGGGAGGGGTGTGTACCCAAAATAAGGAAATAGAACCTGATGTGGGCGGGATTGATGCGGACGGGGTGCATGGGCATACAGTCCGGGAGGCGTTAGCATGTGGGAAGGGCAGCCGTCAGAAAAAGGATTCCTGGAGAGGAGACGCTTAAACTGGATCTTAAACAGGATTTTTCCAAGAGAAGTAAGAGTAAGCCCATTTCGAATTGAAGTCTGGGTGTGTTTGGGTTGTAGGAAGTGCAGGCAGAATAGAGCTTGAAGTGCGGGGAACCGAGTGCTTGGCAAGGTAGAGAGGTAGGTCCTTTACGGAAAAAAGCCCAGGTCTGGGCAGCCACGCTGAGTTGCTTGCATTTGATTCTGTTAAGAGTAGGAAACGATGGAAGGGGGATTGGGGCCATTTTTTTGGACCTCAGCGACAAAAGTTTTGTTGATCATACTCTTCCCTCCTAAGAGTCAGCAACACCCAACTCTTTTATTTTATTATTTTCCACTCATTCCCTCTCCACCCTCCCGTTTCTCTACCCCGCATATGCATTCTCTCTCGTTTAAGATATGTCCCAGTACATGTATATGTCCTCGAAAGATACTGCTTTTAGTTTAAGTATCTATTTTTAATATACACGAATGGTATTGTGATAAGAACTCATTCTGTTTCTTGTTTTTCCCCTCAACTTGATGTCTTAGCGATCTGCCCGTGGGGCTGTGTATACCAGAGGTTCATTAATTCTGACCACTAAAAGTATTTGATTTGTGTGTCTAGCACATTTTACTTACCAGTTCCTTAATCAATGAACACTTAGGTTGCCAGCAGTTCCTTGTTATCACGGACAATGCTGGAATGGGTATTACACGTGTCTCTTATGGACCATAAGAGAGAAATGGAGTTGGTAAATCATGGAGTCTACACTGCTTGGTTTCACTCTGCCATGGTACTCTCCAGAATGGTTTTGCCAGTTTGCGCTGCCACCAATGGCACATGAAGATAGGAAGGTTCCTGTTTCTCCACTTTATACGCTAACATATGTCCCAATTTCTATTAATCTGGCATTGGTAAAGTAGTATCACATTTTAATTTTCATGATGAGTGATAACCATTTTTCCATAAGCTTAAGAGCCATAGAGATGTTTTTCCTTCCGTGAACTACCTGCTACATCTTTTGTCTATTTTTCTGCTAAATTTCCTATTATTTTTCTGAGTGAGTTTTTAAAGTTTCTTACATATTCTAAATATTTATCCCTTGTCAGCCTTGGACATTGCCAGTATCTCCCAGTCTTTCTTGCATCCTTTTAACTTGGTCTTTGCGTCTTTGCTATCCTACAGTGTAGGGGAAATCCTTAATTTTGATGTAGCCAAATGCATCCAATCTCAGCCTTGTGAAGAGTGCTTTTAGGGTCTTGTTTAAAGATCTTTTCCTACGCGTGGCTGCAAAATATTCTCCTACATTTTTCCCTATTTTGCTTCATACTTCTACCTGTCACATGTCTTAACTCATCTGGAATTCACCTCGCATGTACTGCAAATAGGAATACAATATTATTTTCTGTGCATGCTGAGCCAGTTTTCCCAGCAGTACCCACCAAACAATCCATCTTTTCCCCACCAAGATGTGACGGCATCTGTGTCGTAAGCCAGGTCTCCATAGACACCTGTCTCTGTTTCTGGGCTCTCGTTGCTCTTCTGTTGATCTAGATCTGTTCCTATACCAGTGCTACATGGATTTTATTGCTATGACTTCGTTATATATCCTAATATCTGGTAGAGTGAATCCTCCCACTCTTCGCCCTTTTTCCTTTTTTCTTTTTCCATATTACCTTGAAAGTCAAAGCAAAAAACGGTCAGGCGTTACCCCAAAGCTGAAAGTCAGGTTTTCTGATACCCACTCCACTAAGGAGAATTCAAGGGAAAACGAAAAGAGGTGCATCTTGATGGGATCAGGATGGAGAAGAAGCAAAGACCTGGTGGAGGTGGTTTTCCTTAGCAAGTACCTTGCAGCCTCCCTCTTCTGTCAGTTTCTGAAATTTTCTTCCTTTTCCCCTTGATTTGTAGCTGCTACTAAATAATACTTGTACGCTTTACCCTGTCTCAGCTAAGAAGTGTTAGCTCATATCTGAATTTTGTAACAGCATCCTCTGAGACTTGATGACATTCTTAATGAACAATTGATTAGCTACACAGACACAGCTTTCATGGGCTTGAGGTTGATGAAGGGCAAATAGTCTCTGTGAACAGTTGTGCCTGCTATAGTTACCACCCTGTGGTGGAAATAGACCACCTTGCCAGGAAACCTGAGTCCCAGTCCTGGCTCTGCCAGTGACATGCAGTGGAATGACTCTTGGAGCCCTGTTTTCCTTATCTGAACCGCTTTGTTACAGCTTGTCTCAATGTGTCCTCAAAGCAGCCCCGTGAAATGCAGAAGAGCTGCACCACTTTTCCAATTTTATAGAGAAAGAAACCGAGGCTCAAAGAAGTTATGGGACTTAGGCTTGAGCAGCTAAGGAAAGCTAGATTTATGTATTTATTTTGTTCATTGAACAGTAACGTGGTGGTTGGGTGCATGGACTTAGGATCCCAACTGCCTGGGTTCGAGTCCTGGCTCTGCCATTTCCTATTGTAGGGAAGGTACTTAATGACTTTGTCCCTCACTTTACTCATTTCTAAGATAGAAATAATAGTACTGGCCTTAGCATAAAGTCATGTAAGTATTAAATGAGGTAATATGCATACAATGCTTAGAGAAATTCCTGGTACACAGCAAGCATTCAGTGCTTGCTATTATTATTATTATTATTACAACCAGACCAGTGTTTCCCAGTACCCAGGTTCAGAAAAGGTTAAATAAATTGTGCTGAATCAGTTGATTATTGTGGGAGGCAGAATAATGCTCTCCCAAAGATGTCCACATCCTAATCCTCTGAATGTGTGACTGTGTTACCTTACGTGGCAAAAGGGACTTTAAGGATGTGACTAGTTTAAGGATTTTGAGGTGGGAAGATTATCTTGATCCAGATGGGCCCAGTGTAATCATAAGGGTCCTTATGAGTAAAAGAGGGAGGCACAAGGGTCAGTGTCAGAGTGATGTGATGCAGGAGAATCTTGACCAGCCATTGCTGGCTTTGAAGATGGAAGAGGGCTCAAGGGGACAACTTCTAGAAGCTGGAAAAGGGGGGGGGGGGAACTTCTCCTAGAGCCTCCAGATGGGAATGCAGTGCGGCCCCTGCTGACACCTTCATTTTAGCCCAGTGAAACCCAGTTTTAAGTTCCAGAGCTGTAAGATAATAAATTTTTGTTTTTCAAGCCACTAGATTGGTGGTAATTTGTTACAGGAGCAGTAGGAAACTAATGTAATTATAATGCAATAATGAGAAAAATATTTAAATTAGATTTCTACCTCAGACCATAGACAAAATCAATTTCAGGTGAATAAAAAAGAACTAAAGACAAATCTTTCAAACTTTTGGAAGAAAATATAGAAGAATAGTTTTATGACGTCAGAATAGGGAGAGTGTTCTTATACAAAACGAAAAGCACATACTATAAAAGTGATAAATGTAACTATCTTAAAATTAAGAACTCGTATTCATCAGAAGACACAAAGACAGTAACAAAAATAACTATAGACCGGAAAAGATATTTACAAGAAAATAACCAAAGAAGAATTGCTGTCCAGAATTAAGAATTCCAAAAAAATCAGTAAGAAGACAACTAAGTGGAAACATGAGCAATATATATACAACCATTTTGCAGAAGAAGAACCACTAATAAACCTATGAAAAAAAGCTCAACCTCATTAGTAATCAGGAGAAGGTAAATGTAGACACCCACCAGAGAGGCAAAAATGTTAAAGTCTGGCTGCATCTGGTGTCTGAAGGATGTAGAACAAAAGGAACTCTTGGACAGTGTCGGTGGAAGTGAAAATTGGTGCAAACACTTTGGAAAATAATTTGGCATTAACTTGTAAAATGGAATTTACCTCTTCAAGGTATGTACTATGTACCCTAGAGGAACTCTTTGCACACTTGCACAAAGAGACATGCACAAGAAAGTTCACAGCAGTACGAATTATAATGGCAAAAACCTGGTAACAACTCAAATGCCCATCAACAGTAGCATAAATTAGTTATATTATACTCAATCAATGGAAACTATGACGGTAAAAATGAACCCGAACTACGTAATTCTACAAAGATAAATCTCACAAACATGTTGACCAACAAATGCAAATCACCAAAGATTTTCTACAGTGTGATACTATTTACATCATGTTCAAAAACAGTAGTATATGTAATATCCATATGTGGTTAAAGTGATGAAAAGGAAAAAGAGATGATAGACACAACATGCAGTCTTTTGTTAATCTCTAGGACTGAGATGTGATCAGGGAGGGGCACGTAGACATTGGTGATGTGTTTTTTTTGTTTTTTAATTTTTTGGTCACGCCGCACTTGGCACGTGGGGTCTTAGTTCCCCGACCAGAGATCAAGCCCCTTGCACTAGAAGTATGGAGGGTTTTTTTAGTATTTATGTATGTA